GAGGGAAGGGGTGTTGGGCTGGTGAGGGGGAGGGGTTGGGTGGGAGCCAAAGGTGGGGTGGAAGCAATTTCTGTTGAAAATGTGGCTGGGGTTTGGGTTAAAGTTTGAAGTGGTTCCGAGTTTGGGTTCAAGGTAAGGGCCTGGGTGGGGACTGGTTCTGTGACTGTGTTCAGGACATGGGGCTGAGTGGGTAATGGCACTGTGGTTGGGTTCACTGGGTGGGGTTCAATAGAGTGTGATGAAGTAGCTTTTGTTTTCTTGTAGTTGTTTGGGAGGGAGGGTGGGGCAAGATCTGTGGCTGTGGTTTTAGGGTTGACAGGTCTGTTAGGAATGGACAGGGTGGTGGGGTTATTGACTGAAGGCTTTTTGGATTGAGGCTGTTTGGAGGAGTTGGGGACCTTTGCCAACTGATTTTGAGCAGATTGTTTTGAGGAGCTTGTTTGGTTGCTGTTTGGCAAGGGGATCTTCACCTTTGAAGGGGAAAGTGCTTGCAGGAGGCTGAATGCCTGTTTATACCTCTACAGGTTTTACAGAAGGAAGGGAGGTTTTCAAATTCTGCTTGCAAAAGTAATGGGTTATCTCCATTATTAACATAAAAGGAGTTTTGGGGCATGCTAGAGAGATTCATTTCAACACAGAATCTGGCCACTGAAGGCCTATTGAAGTTTTCTATAGTTGAGTCCAGTTTGATAGGCTTCCCAAAAATATTTGCAATAGACATCAAGGCTCTTTTATCATGAAGGTGGATGGGCAGATTAGCTATGGAAATCCAGACAGGGATGATTGGAGTTACCTTGGAGGGATCAAAGTCAGTGGTCCATTTGGTGATGCTCATGGTAGCTCCCTGGACATTCCAGTCTTTGCGAAGGAAAAGTCTCTGGTAATCCTTTTCAGAAGAGAAATTGATTAGCACATGTGAGGGGTGGAGGAGCCCACAAATCCAATTTTCTCCAGCCAACTGCGTATGATCTCCAGAGGTGGCCTTTTCCCAAAGAAACTGCCCACCAGTGCAAACTGAAACTTAGCTGCAAGGGAAAGAATTTGTTCATTTGAGAAGGATATGCAGGGCAATCCTTTAAATTTTTCAATTTCTTTGGATTGTATTTGAGGCGATGAGGGACAAACAGCTTCTTTGAAGCTCTTGGTAGCATGTGGTGATGAAGAAGACAAGAGAGGTGTGGTAGCCGGAGGTTTGGACGACGACCCAGAGGCCGCCGCCCCTAAGGCGGTGGACATGTAGAAGAGAATTTTAGAGAGAGAAACTAGATATATATATATATATATATATACATACATATATATATATAGATATGTATATATGTATATATGTATATATGTATATATATATATATACACACACATACACATATATACATATATACATATATACATATATACATATATAGATATATATATATATATATATATATATCTATCTATCTATATATGTATATATGTATATATGTATATATGTATATATGCATATATGTATATATGTATGTGTATATATATATACATATATACATATATACATATATACATACATATATATATATATATATATATATATATATATATATATATATATATATATATATATATATATATGTATGTATATATGTATATATGTATGTATATGTATGTATGTATATATATATATAAATATATATATATACACACACACACATACATATATACATATATACATATATACATACATACATACATACATACATATATATATATATATATATATATATATATATTGCTTTTACTTCATCTTCTTGTGGGAGTTTGGATAGGAGGAAATTATCTTCAGGGGTGATGAGGGTAGGAACATTGTTGATGAAAGTATCATTGGGCGTGATAGGAACATGTTGGTAGAGGTTTTGGAAGTGGTTGTAGAAAATGAGTTGTGTTTCCTCCTGGGTGCTTGTCCATTTTCCATCTTGTTTTTTGATTTTCAAGATGGATTGGTGATGTCTTTTTTCTTTAACTTTGGAGTGAAAAAAGAAAGTATTTAGGTCTCCTTCTTTTGCCCTCTTCAGATTTGCCTTTTGCTTCCAATATGAGTATTCATCATTAGCTGCAAGTGTTAATTTTGCTCTAATTTCATTCATTGTTTCTCTACTTTCAGGTGTTGGAAGATTGTCAAACTGGGCTTCAGCATTCTTAAGTTGCTCTTCAAGATTTCTAACTTTGGAAAAGATATTGCCAAAGGTATTTTTGTTCCAGTTGGTGAGGGTACTCTTGAGGGATTTTAATTTTTGGGACAGTCCATACATTCCTCCACTTGTGTATCTTCCCCAGTGTTCAGCAATGAGGCTATCAAAGGAGGGATGGTTGCTCTAGCAGTTAAGGTATCTAAAAGGCTTTAGACCTGTGTAATGTGGGTTGGATAGTGTGAGCTTGATTAGGGTATGATCTGAGCCACTTCTGGCTAGGTGTTCAGAGGATATTTTGTTGAATGTTCTGGCTAGGGAGTGGTTGTAAAAAATCCTGTCAATTCTTCTCCAGGTTCTTCCAAGTGATCTGATGCCAGTCCATGTGAAAGGGGTGCCTGAGAAAGGAGGGCTCAGAAGAGAGGAATTTATGATGCATTTATCAAAATCTCCAATGCTATTGAGACATGGAGAGCTTTTCCCCTTGTGATGGTCAGCAGAACTGATGCAGTTAAAATCCCCCCTAAGATCGAGGGGGTATTAGTGTTGCATGCAGTAAGATGAATATTGTTCCAGAGGGGAGTTCTGTCATTCTTAGTGTATTTGCCATAGATGGAAGAGTGTAGGATAGGAGTGTTGTTGTGTTTTAAGCTAAAATTTATGTTGGTGCTTTGGTCCAGGTGGGTATGGGAGAGATATTGTAGAAGGTGTTCAGACCACATAATCCACATTCTGTTATCAGGAGAAGATATTGAGTGCAAGAAGCCAAACTGGAGTTGGTAGTATTGAAGTTTTGAGGGTTTGGCTTTGGGTTCCAGGATTGTGATGATGTGTATTTTTTGGTGACTGATGAGTAGGGCTAGCCTTTGTGATTTAGAAGCTACACCACAGACATTCCAAAAAAGACAGTTCATTGGGGGAAGGGGTGTAGATTTAATGTCTGAAGAAGATTTTTCTTGGATCCTTTTTGATTTTCTGAGAGAGGGGGGAGGTATATATTATGCTGGAACTTTGTTCCACAGGGATTGGTAGGGGGGTGGTGGTTTAGTATGCTGCAGTGGGTGCTTAGTCAGAGATGCACAATGTTCAGTAGACAGTTCATCATCCGAGAGGAATTGAATGGTGTTATGGGATGTATTAGGTAAGTCCAAATCATCTAATGACTTATTGGGATCCAGGGGGATGAAGGTGGGTGAGGGTTCTGCCATGGTTTTGGTTTGGTGATCATTCCAAATGGTGATGCATTCTTTGAAAATGAAGTTGTGAAACACAACATCAAGATCCTGGTCATCAGTTAGGTTTTCAAATGGAGAGGGTATGGTGATGGGTTTAATGCTGGGTTCAAGGGTTAGTTGTGTGGTGGGAGGTGTTTGGTTATTGGGTACTGGGGGGGACTTTGGGGCTTGATTATTGGTTGTAGGTGTGTTTTCTGGGTTTGTAATGTAGTGCTTTGGGTTTTAGTTTGGGTGGGAGGGGTTTGGTGTTGATCAATTCTTAAACAAAAAATATAAATTAGGGATTTAATCATGTGTACCTGATAATCCTGTAAACGCAGTTAGGAATGAGGCCATGATTCTCACGCAGATCGAGTTCCCTTTTAGGGTGTATCGTTATGATGGCTAAGGTGAGGATGACTCACGAGAATAGAGAGGCGGAGAGGAGGCGTAAGATTGGTGTGTTGATCTCTGCCTAATGACCTCTATATATATACACCCAAGGGGAAACCCTAATTAGGTCGTAAGGGTAATTACGTCCATCGAATAATTACCAATTAAATACGTAGGGTATTTATTAGGTCAATGATCAATTAATTAGATAAATGATAATTCAGGCCACATAATAAAATCGTGTCCAACATTCTCCCACTTGGCCGAGTAATCATTTATGATGAGTATTAGATAAGTCTGATCAGATTTTAATACTCATTTTAGTTCTAAACCGAAATTGTAGCAGAGAAATACAGTCATTGAATCGATATTCAATTCAAGACCCCCATTAATCATACTACAATACCAAATTTAGAACTTAAATAAGCTAAGGATCAAATTGACAATTAAGCCCATAACATTATTTTGTACATAAATGTTTTCTATATGTCTTTAGGCATGCGTAGACACATTCAGAGACAAAACAAACAAAACAATGAGAAATTTTATTATAAAATGTAAGCAAGTACAATATGCAACTAAATAAGGTCTTTAGATAACCCCATCTTCGAAACATGTTCTTCGAAAATCTTAGGAGGGAGACCTTTAGTCATTGGATCCGCAAGCATATTCTTAGTACTTATATGCTCAATACAAAGTTTATTTTCCTCAACTCGCTCACGTACGAACAAGTACTTTGTATCAAGATATAAAGCAGCGCCAGTCGAACTGTTACTGTTCGAGAAACTAACGGCGGCTGAGTTATCACAATAAAGCTTCAATGGTCGAGAGATGGAATTAACTACTTTGAGTCCAGTGATGAGGTTTCTGAGCAACATCCCATGACAGGTTGCGTTGTACAACGCAATGTATTCTGCCATCATTGTAGAAGTTGCAGTCAACTCTTGCTTATGACTCTTCCACGAGATAGGTCCGCCAGCTAACATAAAGATATACCCTGAAGTGGATTTCTTGTCATCTTTGCACTTAGCAAAATCAGAATCAGAATAACCAACCACTTCTAAATTATCACTCCTTCTGTAAGTCAGTTTATAGTCTTTTGTCCCTTGTAGATATCGAAGAACTTTCTTAGCTGCTTTCCAGTGATCAAGACCAGGATTGGTCTGATAACGACCTAACATTCC